CGACCATAAACTCATCGTCAAAGGAAGAGTCGTCACTCCCTCTCTGACAGCAAAGAGACAGCAGGGAAAGATCGTTAATGGTCTAGTGGGAGGCAAAACAACCAAGAGCATACGGACACTTACCACCAGATTCTTCAATACCTTCTACCCACAGGCAGTGTGATTGGCAAACACATTTGGCAATGCCCCTCGGCCCACACCTACACCATCTACCTCATTATATTTTTATTTATTGCACATCTGCAGTCATTGTTTACATGTCTGCATTGTTTACATTTAAACTGTTTACTTGTACATTGTCTAGTGTTTGTTTGTATATTGTCTTGATGCACTGTCTGCACTTTGTGTTTTTACACTTGTTTTAACAACCAAGAGACTTTCCATTGTACCAGTACATGTACTGGTTACATATGGCCATAAAGTTCAAGTTCATGTTCAAGTTCAGTTTGTACCGCCAGGAGCCCATTTAAGTCATTCAGTCTTATTCAGTGCAATCAGACTTCTCATGTCCCCTACTCAAGGTTTAAGTAGGGTAATGTGGTAAACCCCTCTCAGGTTCATGACAATCAGTAATTGCTCGTTATGTGTAGCCAGAACCTTCTTATCTTGCCCTCTGTCTGCGGTACAAATGTCTGCGGTACCTTGTCTATCTCATCGAGGTAGCAGTCAGTGAAGTCTCTTGGCTGTCCTGGGACACGTGTCTTCTTGTGTTCGGTCACCTTTGCCAAAGTTGAGGCTTCTAGATCACGCATGTTTTTTAAGGCCTTCTGGAAAGGCAGGGGCAAGCGCCTCACGAATGGCATTGTGTCATAAATCTAGAATGAGAAGAGAACTCCTGATGCATTCATTCTATAGGACAGTGCACTGCACACAGACTTTGAAGTGACTGTAGATTTCAAGGCTAACAAGCAGAGACAATGAATGGATACTTGGAGGTATGAGCACACAAGCCACAGGGTACTTGTTCTCCTCCCCACTGACAGTGGGTGTGGGTAGAGCGTACAGGAGCTCTATGACTGCATCATCCAGGTGGGGCTGCACACTGGGGGTGGTGGAAGAGAGTCCCCATTAACTGTAAAGCACTTTGATGTGAGTGTCTGGAAAAGGTTTTTATAAGTGTAAGTATTATTATATTAACAGGGCACATATAACATTATTATATATATATACATCCACCTCCAAATATATTCAGCCCTGGTGATGATGGTGTTCACTTGCATGTACAACAGGTCAGACCACTAGGTGTGCCAGTCTTAGAGCCATACATTTGGACACACTAATTATTTTTATATTATACCTCATCCATTTGTAATTGCAGGTTCAGATGTGACTTCAGTAGCCCCCTCCCATCACAGACATTTTGACTCTCTGTGACCTCGGTACCTCAGTCCACAGGAGTGGTGCACCTCAGCAATGTCACTGCCAGCCTGCAGGCACCTGACAACTCACAGGAGTCTCTGCTTCCCAGAAAAGCAGAGGACCAAGAAGCCCCTGACTGACAAATAAAAACCCAACCACCATGTGTCAAATGTTCACAACCACTTGGGAAATCCAGTCCACAGTCAAGCTGGAACCAGATTACAATGTCTGTCTGGACCATACAGCTCAGTCTGGACTCCGGATCAGCATCTTTATCAGTGTAATTGCTCTGTGGCCTGTGATCCTTCACGTGATACTCCCACTCTGCTGTTCAGACACAATGTGACAGTCTTGGCCTTCCACCTGTGACTCTGAACATGGTAGGGAAGGAAAGGCATCACTGGATTCAATTCCTTCTTTATTGGCTCCTTTATTTCCATTCATTAATATTCCACATTTCACACAGTGCGGACAGGAAATATTAGGAATGTTCAAGAGCAGACATACCATGCCCCAGGGACCATTCAGTATCTTTGTAATCTCACAAACCATGCGTATCAGGGACTGAAAAGTCTCATCTTCGTAGTTGTATCGAGCTCCAAACAGGATGGCACAGATGATATTGGACACAGCATTGTGAAACAGGGTTTTGGGGTCCATGGACTGGCCTGTGCACAGACGAGATTGAAGACAGGAGTGTAGGAGCCAGTGTTTTGAAAATTATTTTAAAGCAGAGAAATGTTTTCATCATAAATTGCTTAAATGTTGGAAACAGCATTTCTTCGTTTGTATCTTTTTATAAATTATGATGGGTGGCTTGGTGACACACTAGTTAGTATCACAGCACTGGGGACGAGTTCACATGGGTTTCTTCTGTGTGACCTGGTTTTCTCCCACAGTTTAAACACACGCTGGCAGGTTAATCGATTCAGGGAAAAATGACCCTGGTGTGAATGTGTCTGTGTCTGTGTGTGGCCTGCGAGGGACTGGTGTCCCATCCTGCCTTGCGCCCAGTGCCTGTTGGGAATAGCCCCATCTCCCCCCTGACCCTGAATTAGACAAAATAGTTGGAAGATTTTGAGGATGAAAATGATGAAATATTTGAATCCATCCATTAGCAAACAAGTGCTTTCCGTGGTAAAGCAAAAATCGTGTCCTGAAATTACTGGACAACAGGCTGAACTGAGACCCTAAGATTACTCTCCCTAGACAGGACACCAGTTCATCACAGACCCCTTGTAGTTCATTGCATTTTATGCCATTATCCTGCTTGATGTTAGAACGCTCTTGTTTGCTTCTCAGTCTCTCTGTATTAGAGTGTTCTAGGAAGGTATGTAAGTAAAGATCCAATAGATTATGACAATGGAGCTTTCAGTCAATTTATAATGGGTCAGGCACATATGTTCAACAGTGCCTGTTGGGAATGGCCCCATCTCCCCCCTGACCCTGAATTAGATAAAATATAGAAGATGGATGGATTGAGGACGAAAATGATAGAATATTTGAATCCATCCATTAGCAAACAAGTGATTTCTGTGGTAAAGCATCAGGAATCCTGTCCTGAAATAACTGGACAAAAGGCTGAACTGAGACCTCAAGATTATTCTCTCTAAACAGGACACAAGTTCATCACAGACCACTTGAACTTCTGTTCATTTTATGGCATTATCCTCCTTGATGTTAGAATACTCTGGTTTGCTTCTCAGTCTCTCTGTATTAGAATGTTCTAGGAAGTTATGTAAATAAAGATCCAATAGATTCTGATAATGGAGCTTTCAGACCACTTATAATGGGTCAGGCACATGTGTTTAACCCATCTTTCGAGGGCTTTGTCTGTACCTGAGCACTTTTCCAAGTGTGAGATGAGATGGGAAGCCTCTTCCAGGATCTTTTCCTCCATGGATGTTTTTCCCAGCCCAAAGTTCCTCAGACAGGTCAGAGAAAACCGTCT